GCGCTCGCCTGCGGCCGCTGATTAAAAAGTGTCCTCACCAGGAGGCGGCAGAGAACCAGAAGCTCTTTCTGGCGTGGGACGAGCTCGTACCCTTTGCACACGCATCGACGCCGCAGTACAAAAGAGTGGGCGCTGTCTCACTGAGGTTCCAGATCTGGTCTTGGGTGCAGTCAAGCTTCCGTGGAAGGCTTTAGTACCAGGCAAAATGGTTCTCCGTGGACATCGCGTCACCGTTCAAGAGCCTGCGCGTGGACTACGGCGGCAGGCACACCCCTTTGGAAAGAAGTAGTCAACTCGCATCGGCCAGCTAATACGGACAGGTGATCCTCACCCTCCCCGTCCTGCGTCCTGGCCAGCCCGCAGATGCCCCCTGGCTGCCTCCTTCTCTGCCTGCTGGACCTCATTCGAGGTTCGGCACATTGCGCGCGGTGCCACCACACTTTGGACGGCGGCCGATAGTGGATCCTACTGGACCTGTGCTGTGGCTGTCCCTCATGCCAGCGCAGCAATGTATCAGGCTGCCCCTCCTCCATATCCCTGTGGCCGTCAGCTACACCCTACAAGGGCAACTTATTTCCGTCGCGGCTGTCAGCTGCACCCTACCAGAGACACGGCACAGCGCAGGCGGAGTGACCCCTCTCCTGCCTGCAACTGCCGGCTCTATCCGAACGAGGCAACGTGTTGGCCGTGCACAGTGCCAGCGCAGCAGTTGTCTGGCGTACCCTATTCAACCCTTCGGCATTTTACTGCAATTTACTTTTGTTTTTCCCATCCTGCTGCGGTGGTCAGCTGCACCCTACCAACGAGTCGGTTCCGCAGGTGGAGTGACCCCCCTACACCCTGCAGCTGACGGCGGGATTACAATGGACCTGTGGGTGGCTGGACCTTATGCCAACGCAGCAATGTCTCAGGCGGAACCCACTCGCCTTTCTACAGCTGCCAGCTGCACACTACCAGAACAGCCCCCACCTTGCTGCGGCTGTCCCCTGCACCCTACCAGCGGCCCGGCACTACAGATGGAGTGACCCCCTCCATCATGCGGCGAACGTGTTTATTCGTACTGGGCAGCGGGGTAACCCAGACGGCCCAATGCCAGCACAGCAATTTGTTTCAGGCGGGCCCTTCCACACTCCTTCTGCGGTTGTCAGCTGCACCTTACCAGAGCAATTCCCATCTTCTGGCGGATGTCAGCTGCTCCCTACCAGCGAACCGGCGCTACAGGTGGAGTGACCCCTTCCGTACTGCAGCTGACGTTCGGACTCGGACTGGGCAGCGGTGCGACCCCGGTAGCCCAGTGCCAACGCATCAATATGTCTCAGGCGGTACCCGTACTCCATCTTTCCGCAGTTGTCAGCTACACACTACCTGCTCAAGTCCCACCCTTCTGCGGCTGTCAGCTGCACCCTATTTGCGGACCGGCGCCACAGGTGGAGTGACCCCCTCCCTCCTGCGGATCGGTTGAATTACAATCGACCGATGCGGGAGCTGTGCCCTGCGCCGGCGCAGCAATGTCTCAGGCGGAACCTTCACATCTCTCTGCAGCTGTCAGCAGCGCCCTACCAGAACTCCCCACCTTGCTGCGGCTATCGGCTGCACCCTACCAGCGAACTGGCGCTGCAGGTGGAGCGACCCCCTTCCATCCTGCGGCTGACGCTCGGCGTCGCTCTGGGCAGCGGAGTGGCCCAGGCTGTCCCCTGCCAGCGCATCGATATGCCTCAGGCGAACCTTTTTCCCAACTTTCTGCGGCTGTCAGCTGCACCCTGCCAGCAACTGGCGCTGCAGGTGGAGTGGCCCCCTCCACCCTGCGGCTGACGCTCGGATGGGCCTGGCCAGCTGAGTGACCCAGGCTGTCCATTGCCAGCGCAGCAATACGCCACAGGCGGACCCCTTCACGCCACAGGCGGACCCCAGATCGTACGCCACATGCTGGTGGCCCCCTTCACTGGACCGGCGCCTGGCGCGTCCGCGCTTGCCCCCGCCGGGCTGTTGGCCTCCGACGGCAGTGCCCCCGCCCGGATTTGCGCACGCGGCAGGTTACGCCCATCCCCCTGCCAGGCTGATTCGCCCCTGTCGCTGCTGGACTACCCCAGTGGCCCGTCTTCAAATCGCTCCTGGCGCGTGCTCTTTCCTCTAGCGGGCCTTGGAGTGCGACTACCATGTGGCTAATCCTATGGCCCTGGAGATGGCCTGCTGGTTTGTACGTCGCCCTTCCTTGTATTCCGAGTTCCTGCTCTTCGGCAAGGTACTTCCTGTCCTTCGTCGCCTGAGCCTGACCCCCTGCGCGTTCGTCTTCTCATCTTTTTCTCTTTTGTTTCTCTTCTTTCGTTTCCTTCGCCGTCTCCCTCTGTTGTCTTTACTCCTACCTCTGCCGCGTCGCCGCTGTGCTTCGCCTGTTCATGTTCCCGCGTGTCGCCCGCGGCTACTGCCCCGTGCTCGACTCTAGCCTTCGAACCCTTGGACGGCGCGCAGCCGTCTGCGTCGCTCGCGAGCAAAAAGTCCTCACCAGCAATTTCGCTCAGCGTCCCTCGGCGGCAGCTCTGGCAGCCGTCAGTGCGCTTGCTGGATAATTAGGTTTCGCTGGTAACCCGGGACGACTTCTGACGCCGCCTGCGCCTTCGCTTGCGGCCGCGACCAAAAAAAAAAACCTCACAAGCCCATCCAGGAACGAAACCTAGGAGAGTTGCCTTGATCAGGGAAGCGCGTGGGCATGCAGTGGAAGAACAGGGGGAGTAGCTGACAATCCGAAGCTCGGGATTAGCTCGAGCAGACCCAAGCGTGATCTGCATGTGCATTCGTGGCCCTTTCGAAGAAAGAAGATGAGGAGGAGGAAAAGGAGGAGGAGGATGAGGAGGAGGAGGAGAGGGAGGAGGAGGGGGAGGAGGAGGAGGTCGATCAGCCGGAAGAGGAACTTGATTGAACACAATCCCATCCAATTTGTGATGAAACTTCGGCGGGGGGGAGAAGGAGCAGGAGGAGCAGAAGGAGAAGGAGAAGAAAAGGGAGGAGAAGGAGGTCGGAGGAGGAGGAGGACGACGACGACGGCAGGAGTCAGCCATACAGGCCTTCGCAGATCTTTCGCTCTGGGGGTCTTTCGGTGGCATTTTGTTTTGGGGCCTTCTGGACACCATTTGGGGAGTCCGTGAAGCCCTGTTGGTCGCCTCATGGGCCCTGGTGGGACGCTTATGTGGCATTCTTGGGTGGCGTTGGGACTGTGTTGGAGCTCTCCTGGGCCCCTCGTTGGCTCTGTTGCACGATCTTGCAGCCTCAGAGTCCCATCAAAAGCGAAAAGCTGGAACGCTGCACGTGTTTGAAAGATTTGTGGGCCCTTGGTGTGTCGTTTTTAGTCTGCGTCGTCACTTCGAGATGTCTTCCTGCTGTATTGAGGCCTCCTGGAGCCATGCTAGGGACCAACTTGGACCATCTTGCACCATCGTGAAGACCATCGTGGGCATCCTGGGGCCATCTTGGATTTATCTTGGTTTAGAAATTCCCCAATGATGCGCACGAGAGACAAGATTCTCTCAAAAGCTAAAAGTGCGTCAGTGATAATGCTTGTGAAAGAAAGACGTTGTGCCCTACTGTGAGGAGTTTTGGCTTAGGCGTGCCGTTCCGCCAGTTCTGGCCCGCCACGCCTTGGCGCGACACGCTAACCACGTCCTGGTCCCCTGGCGTCAACCTTTCGAGCCTTTCCCGACCTCCCGCTACGCAGAGCGGGGCGACACGATACCCGCCATCCGCCCGCCGCGACACGCTAAGCAAAAGTCGTTGAACGCAATTCGGAAAAGATTTGTTTGTAGGCGCTTGAAGGGTGGTGGCGAGGTCCGAAACAGCCCCCCCTCCGCCCTGAAGTCTCTGGCGCTCTCGACGACTTTCCCCCCCACGCGCCAGCAAACGATGACGACGTCGACAACGGCGACGACGACGACGTCGACGACGACGACGACGACGACGACGACGACGACGACGACGACGACGGCGGCGGCGGCGGCGGCGGCGGCGAGGACGACGACGGCGTTAACGAGGACGACGACGACGACGTTGATGACGACGACGAGCACGACGATGACGACGACGACGTCGTCGTCGTGGTCGCTTCCCTTGTGTACTCTCCCCCACCTTCGTCCCGTCAGCGAGCGAAGCTTGCACTTCCTGTCGCCCGCCCGCCCTGTCTGGTGTCCTGACCGCCCCACCCGACTGAATGTCCCGCCCAACCGACCCGCCCGCTGCTTTCACGTCCTGGCCGCCCGGCCCGCCGGCCTGCTTCGATCATGCTGTCGGGTTTTATTTGGATGGCATAAGTCTTCATGGTTTCAGTGCTGAAGTACTCTGGTTGGGTAGCGCTCTCATAATATTTCATTCGTTTATTTTTGAAAACGAAAAAAAGGCTGTGTGAAAGAAGGGGAGGTGAATGTGGTAAGTGTTAACGTAGTCAGAGCGAACCAGAAAAAAGGTTAGGTATTAACGTAGTCAGACCTGGAGGCGAAGCCGCTTACCACATAAATGTCGCTTGCGCTGGAAAACACAGAGCTCGACGCCGTCCTGTTGCGGAACATGCCAAAGAGAGAAAGGAGGACAAGTTGCGATTCACGCCAGCCCTAGAGCTCGACGTTTCATCCACCCAGTTTGAGCTCCCAAAAACGGAGAAAGTGGGGCAAACTGATTCACGCAGGAGGATGAGGCACAAGAGGTAGAAGAAGAATAGAAAAAAAGGAGGCGGAGCAGGAGTACGACATGAGGCAAATGAAGTGGGAGGACAAGGAGGAGGACGAGTGGTTGAATGAGGAATTGGAGGCCCAGGACGAAGCAGAAGAGGGGTAGGCGAAGGGATTGGATAAAACGGAAAAAGACCGGAGATGGAACAGCATGACGAAGAGAAGGTGGAGGACGAGGAAAAAGAACTGAGAGAAGAGAATGTCGACGAGGACGACGACGACGACGGAGCTCGACGGAGCCAGTTGGCAGACTCTCCAGTTGGTCGGGTCGAAGAGATTTGGGGCTGCCCAGCGAGGACGACGAGTCTGGCGAAGAAGACGAGGACGAAGATGCAGAGTCGGGCTGAGCCTGGCCCGCCCGCTGGTGGCCTGCCGAGTCTCGCGCGGCGGGGCGGCACCTGTCCTGAGCTGCCCGTGCTGGGCTGGCATGCCCTCGGCCGCCTCCTCCTCCTCCTCCTCCTCCTCCTCCTCCTCCTCCTCCTCCTCCTCCCTCCTCCTCCTCCTCCTCCTCCTCCTCCTCCTCCGCCTCCTCCGCCTCCTCCTCCTCCTCCTCCTCCTCCTCCTCCTCCTCCTCTCCTCCTCCTCCTCCTCCTCCTCCTCCTCCTCCCCTCCTCCTCCTCCTCCTCCTCCTCCTCCTCCTCCTCCTCCTCCTCCTCCTCCTCCCCCCCTGGTCTGCATCCTCCTGGTGGTCTGCATCCTGAGGCCTTCGGCCACGGCCGCCCGCGCCCACCTGCTCCAGGCATTGAGGGGCCCCCTCGGCGCCATCCTCTTCGTCGTCACCATTCACGTGCTGCTCCTTCTGCTCCTCTGCCTGCCACCTGGCCGCCAAAGAGACCTCCCTCCTCTCAGTGAGCCATCGTCGTTGTCTTGGGGCTCCGCTGGATCGATCCTGGCGGCTCTCCGCCCGACGTGTGGGCCTGTTTGCTGCTGTCGTGGAACCTGCCGAAGCCTCCTGGAGTCCCCTCGGGGCGCCCTTGGAGTGATACCTGGCCCCCATTGTAGAGTTTGAGGCTGGGCAGGAGCCACCGGTTATCATCCTGAGCATCGTTACAATGGATTCGCGCCCTGCGAGCGTGCAGATATCACAACTGATCCAGGATCGTGGCCCTGGAAGAGCGGACCCGGCGCAATGTACTCGGGACCCTGGCCCTGAGGGCGCGGGCCCTGCGCAGCTTACAGCCCTCGTAGTGCGGATCCAGCGGGATGTGCATGGGATCGTGGCCCTGGGGGAGTGGACCTTATAGAATCCAACACAAGTTTTGGCCGCGGGAGCGTGGACCCAGCGTGGTTCGCAAGAGATCGTGGTCCTGGGAGTGCGGACCCAGCGCGATTCACATGGAATCGCAGCCCTCGGAACGCGGCTTACAAAGGATCCTACCACTGGGAGCGCGGACCCAATGCAATGTTCTACGGATCGTGGCCTTGCCTTGGCCTTGGGAGCGTGGATTTAACGCAGCGTGCAAAGGAATGGTCCCCCATGGGAGCGCGGCCGCAACTTACAGGGATCTTCTGTGGCCCTGCGAGCGCGGATCGCGCGCCGCAATTTGCACATGATCGTGGCCCTGGGAGCGCGGACCTGGTGCGGTGCACAGAGGATCGCCTTCTTGGGAGCGCGTCTCCAGCGCAATTCGCAGGGGAGCGCGGCCCCAATGTATGTTGTAGGAGGGCGTGGCCCTGGGAGCGCGGCGTCGTCGTAACGTGTACTGGGTCGTGGCCCTTGGCGCGCGGATCCTTACTGGTATGTTACAAGAGTGCGTGGCCCTCTGAGCGCGGCGCCATCGTAACGTGTGTACTGGGTCGTGGCCCTTGGAGCGCGGATCCTTACTCCGAGTTTCTTGACAAGCGTCGGGGGGGCGTCACCCCCGCCGACAGCCCCACATCGACCCCCGTCGCGGGCAGCCACCGCGCGCCGAAGGCGCTTCGACCCCCGTCGCGGCGCGACGACGAGGCGAGGTTGACCCCCGTCGGGGGGGCTACCCCCCCACGCTGATTACGAAGCCCAGGGTATGTTGCAGGAGGGCGTGGCCCTGGGGGGGCGCGGCGTCATCGCAACGTGTACCGGGTCGTGGCCCCGGGAGGGCGGAGCCGGTGCAGTCTACGAAGGAGGTCGTGGCCCTCGTTCCGCGGACCCGGCAAAAATGTGAAGAGGATCGTGGCCTTGGTGACGGGGATCCAGCATAGGCAATTCCGATCGTGGCATCGAGAACGCAGATCCAACATGATGTGTCAGACGACGACCACGACTACGACGAAGAGGAGGAAAAAAGGGAAAAGGAAGACAATGAGGGCAAGGACGAGGACGAGGAGGGGGACAACGAGGACGAGGACAGAGCCCTCCTCAAAATCGCCATACGTAATGCCGATCGTGGCATCGCGAGCGCGGACCCAACATGATGTATCAGGGATCGCGGCCCTGGAAGAGCGGATTTGGCGCGAAATGGCTGAGGTCATTGGCTTTGGGAGTGCGGACGCTGCACAGTTTACAGCCCTAGGGGCACGGGCCCTGCATGACTAGTCGGGGAGCATGATCTTGGGAGTGTGGACCCAGCGTGGCTTACAAGGCATCTGGCCTGAGAGTGCGGACCCAGCGCAACGTGCAAAGGGTCGTGGCCCCAGGAGCTCGGACCCTGCCTGTGTGATTATTTCCGCTCGTTGGGAGACCCTGCCCATGAGAGCCGACGGGAAAAGGGACGAAGAGACACATGCGGTGAACCACAGCGGGCAACCGGGGTGAACAAAGAGAGATCTCTGGGAGCAAGGGAGGGGCCTTGGAGGGCCTCTCCGAGCCATCCCTGGGGCCTGCGTGGGGGCGAAGGAAGGGGGAGGAGGAGGAGGAGGAGGAGGAGGAGGAGGAGGAGGATGCGGAGGAGGAGGAGGAGGAGGAGGAGGAGGAAAACGACGACGACGACGACGACGACGACGACGAACACGACGACGAGGAAGAGGATGAAAAGGAAAAGGAAGACGATGAGGGCAAGGACGAGGACGAGGAGGAGGAGGAGGACAACGAGGACGAGGACAGAGCCCTTCTCAAAATCGGGTCTTGGAGCCCTCTTGAGACTCGTTTAGAGAATCTGATTGGGGCTCTTTTTGGGAGGTATTGGGGCCCTCTTGGAGCCACCTGTGGGGTCCTCTGGGAGCCCTGGAGAGCCTCTTGGGGCCATCTTGGAGGCCGTCGATCAAAGGGAGGGGTCCTCGATCTCCCCCCCTCCCCCGCTGGAGCTATCAAAATCGCCTCTTGGGGCCTCTGGGGACCCTCTTGGGTCGCCCGTGGGCGCCCTTGGAGCCGTATGGGAGGGGGCATCTTGGGCCCCTCTTGGGGCTCTCTTGCGCCATCTTGGGGCCATCTCGAGCGCATCGGAAGCAACAAGGCGAGACGCCAAAAAACAGTGATGGCATTCGGTGTTTGAAGGGTGTTGGCCTCTCGACGGGGGCCCTGAGGGGGCTACGATAGCACTTGGAACCGTCGTGTGGCCCGCGTCGGGCCTCTTGCAGGTATGTCGGAAGCTATCTTGAAACATCTTCAGCTATCTTGAGCCACCATGTTGAAGGCCATCTTGGAGCACCAGAGGCCCTCTTGGAGCCATCTTGGACGTTCTAACCCCTCCGTCCTCCCCCCCTCCAGACCCAGGGAGGGGGGGTAAACCTCCCCGAAGGGAAGAGGGCTTTTTGGAATAGGAAATACAAAACGCGCTTGACCACCTTAGCCCAGATGGCTGGTGGGATTGTGCAAAGGGTCGCGGCCCTGGGAGCGCGGATCGAACGTGATTTGCGAGGGCTCGCTGGAGGCAAGAATTTTGAGACCCCCCCAGGTTGAGATACTACGCCGCTTTGGGGGACATGGAGGGATCTATAGAGGGAGACAGACACAGTTGTTGTAGTCAATATCCTACATCACACGCTGAGTACAATGCAAACGTATATTTGCAGGCTGGATGCCCCACAGGGGGCAAGCGAATTAGACTCACGCACGTCATGCTGCGAAACGTTGCGCTTCCCCTGGGCAAAATATGGCGTGTCACATCTTGATATGGTGCGCAACGAGTTGTGTCGAAGTGTCGCTACCTTTACAACTGCCACCGCCAAGGCGCAGCGCTGACGTCATTCAAGTTGGTGGGCACCTCTTTGTCTGCGTCACCAGTTGACACTATGGCCCTCGCTGGCGCGGATAGGAGCAAGTGGTTACGATGGGTCTGAGAACCACCAGCCGGGACAGAATCGTCGGGAGAGAACAGGAAGGAGAGAATGAAGGGAGAGAAGGTGAGGAAGCGGGGACGGGGATGGAGATGGGGCCAGGGGGGGGGGGGTGAAGAAGGGCATCGGGGAGGAGAATGGGCATGGAGACAAGGAGGAGGGAGGACGAGGAGGAGGCAAGAGGTGGAGCGGAAAGGACGGAACGAGGAAGCAAAAGGAGGAGAAGCAGGATAGGATGGACGGGGAAGAGAGCAACAAAATGTAAAGTGGAGAGAGGAGGAGGAGGAGGAGGAGGAGGAGGAGGAGGAGGAGGAGGAGGAGGAGGAGGATCGGCGAGAGGAGGACGAGGAGAAAAGGACGACAGGGGAGGAATGGGAGGAGGAGGAGGAGGAGGAGGAGGACGAGGCATGAGATGGAGGATCAGCGGCATCAGCAGAACGACTGGTAGGGGTGGCGGAGGAAGGCAGAGCAAGATGGTGGAAGTTGGAAAGTAAGCAGAGGTGGAGCAGAATGGCAGTGGAGGAAAGGGAGGAGGGCAGAGGAGGACGAGGAGGGAGGGCGAAGGGGAAAAAAGGAGACGAGCGGAGGACGAGGACAAGGGGACTAGCACGGACGCGGGAAGGGGGGGGGAAGGGTTGAGAAGAGAGACGGAGAGAGAGGGAGACCGTCCGCGCAAGGCCTTGGGGGCAGCCGTGGTGCGCTGCCTCGCCGCTGGCCTCGCCGGCTTCGAGGTCGCCGGCGCCGAGGAGAGGTTGCTGGAGGACCCGTGTCCGCATTGAACGTGCTGGTTTTGGAGCGCGGCGGGCGCGCAGCACGCTCGGAGCCTGCAGTCGATACGCTGAAGTAGGGACCACGTGTGGTTCAGGATTCGCTCTGGCTTTCGGGCCGTTCCTGAGGTAGGGGCCGACAATCGTCGTGGCCAGAAAAGTTCAATCGTTCCTTCTCCAGCGCTCCTGACGGTAGCACGATGGTTGCACGCACGGACCACTGAAAGCAGTGAAAGCGTACGACTGGATGCCCGTAAGCCGGCGGATCCCGGGAGGGTTCCATTGTCTTGTTCTGCCCCACTGCCGCTGGCCTCGCTTGCATGTGCAATCGCCTTCCTATCCGTTCAGCGTGCAATGACAAGGGCTCAGAACGTAGTGACTGATCATGCGTATGCGCTCCGACAGGACAGTCCATCCCGCAGAAGTTTGCACTGCAGAAAACCGGGCACAACACCGTTGAATTGCGCTGAGCGAGAGTGGAATTGCGCTGGCACATGGCTAGCCACAATCTGATTAGCAACATTTACCACCAAGCCACGCCACATGAGACATTTCGCGGCATACCTATATCCGTCAAGTCCGTCCGTTTTGCATGATTAAGACGCTCGGTTGCAAAACAAGCGGATGGATTCTTCGAAAAGGGCGCGTACGTTGTGATGCGCGTCGTCCAAGTACCGCATGGAAATACCGAAAGTTATGTTGGGTCGCCCGGTGCTGCTTCTCGTCCGTAACGATGGATACCGCCAACGATTGAGTTGTAATATGAGCAGGGCGTGGTCAGTTGGTCATGTTTGCTCAATGGAAGGATGCTTGACATGTCGAGATGCAGAACAGCGTTGCCTCGATGGTGCGTCGTAGCGCCGAGTGAAGCCGATTGCCGAAGTACCCCGCTGTAACCACGGACATTGACAAAGTGATTCGCCCATTAAGCTCGCACGATTGTCTTCGAAACGGATGTGCTCACCACGTCGTTTGCACAGATGTTCAGGATTCAGGGTCGTCTTTCCAGCTTGTTAACGGGCATGCGTCTGCGAAATTTGAATACAATATACCAGCACGTATCTAGAATTATACACTGGCGAAGCATATGGGTTTGGTAAATGGAGCAACAACAAAAACAGACGAACTAACGAAAACAACAAAAAGAACGTGAAAGTTTGGGGCCTTGGACCGTGTCGAACCGTTGTATGTAGTGTCCACGTTTGTGTAAACGATGTTCCCCAATCAGGGCTTGCCTCTGTAGAGGTCCTAGCGGAATCATATGGTTAGGTGAATTGATACCGATTGCCGCGGCCCACACGGGTGCCTTATAGCCCTAGAGCCCAATAGCCCTATACCCCATTGCCCAGTAGCCCTATGATCATATAGCCTTATAGCCTTACAACACTATAGCCCTAGAACCCCATAGCCCTATAGCCCTATCGCCCAATAGCCCTATAGCCCTGTAGCCCTATAGCCCAGTAGCCCTATAGCCCTAAATAACTATATCTCTAAAGCCCTATAGCCCTATAGCCCTATATGCATATAGCTCTGTAGCCCCATAGTCTTATTTCCTTATAGCCCCATAGCCCTATGGTCCTATAGCGCCAGAGACCTATAGACTCATGGCCCTGTAGCCCCAGAGGCCCGTAGCCATATAGTCCTACAGTCCTATAACCCTATGGCCCGATAGCCTTATAGCTAACCATATGGCCCTGTAGCCCTACAGCTCCATAGCCCTATAGCCCCTATCGCCCTATTGCCCCATAGCCCTATCGCCCGAAAAAGACTTTGATTTGGGTTGTTCCTCTGGCATCATCTAACGAAATTGTGTCATACATCGCAGGTTGTGAGACCGAAGTGAACGGAGTCCCTCAATTGGGAAATCGATTTAGGTTTCGGCTTGTGTCGTGCGTCGCGCGTGTGTGGGCGAGGCGAAGCTGCGCAAGTCCTTGCACCAGCTAGGCTAAAATGAGTTGTGTCTGGGCCATTTGCGGCGTGCGTGGGGTTGTCCCACGGTGGTCCCCTCGTTATCCCGTGTTTGCGCGGGGTCCCACGGTTGTTCCGTGTGTGGTATGTCGTTGTTTTGCGTTTGTCCCGTGGTTGTCTCGTGGTGATTCCATGGTGATTCTGTGATTGTTTTGGGATTGTCCCGTGGTTGTTTTGTGGTTGTTCCGTCGGTGTTCCATCGTTGTCCCATGGTTGTGTCGTGGTTGTCGCGTGGTTGTTCTGTGTTTGTCCCATGGTTGTCCCAGCGTTGTCCCGTGGTCTCGTGGCTGTCCCAGCGTTGCCCCCTGGTTTTCGCGTGGTTGCCTGCGTTTGTCCCGCACAAATACCGTGATTATCCCGATTGTTTGCAGACAGATACATTGTGAGGGCAGTATGCCGCTTGTGGATTGCTAGGTAGGAAGCGGCGGTGTGCGCGCGCGCACTTCGTCGCAATTTGGCTCAAGCGCCCCTCCTTTGGAGGAAAGGCGCGGGCGGCGCGAGGCCCCGATTGTTGGCCTCGACGTTGGCCTCCTCGGCAGCCCGCGGGCCGAATGATGGCTTGAGGCCAGGGCGACCGAGGGTTTGGACGCGGCCGCTCACTTTGGACGCGGCAAGCTCATGCCAGCGCGCTCACTTGGTGGCTGGTCCCGCGCGCTTATGGGCGTTACCGAAGCGAGGCGGGCCCTCCCGGAGTTGCTCCTCAGCCCCGGCATCCCGTCTCCGCGGGCACGGCGGTTCGGCGCGCACGCCTACCAAGCGACGTTGCTGCCACAGGGCGCGAAGCGCGGAATGCGTGGCCCGCACCAGCGGCCAAGCCCAACGAACGGATGACCCTCGAGAACTCGCAGGGTACGCTTGCGGCTCTGCTCTTCAAGCTCGCGAAGGTCTTCTTGGACATGCGTGTTGGCCGCCTCGACTTGGACGCCGATCGCTCGGGCCGGTGGGGCTCGGCCCCGCCACTGCGCGGAATCTACGGTCAGTCAGGAGCGCCGGGCGCGGCGGAGGGCTTTGGATCTAGCAGGGCGCAGAAGTGTGTGGTATGAACGATTTCTCGAAAAGCAACCGCAATGCGACGGTAGCGTCGCCATATACAATCATCGATTTGGGCGAGTCTTGACGAGGTCGGAGGGCGAAGCAGCCCAGGCGATTCGCGAGGGCGGCTGGTTCGAGTTCGTCAACAAGGCTGGCGGGATGTGAGCTGGGAAGGTTCATTCTGGCTGGCTTCGCTCTCTTGTGCAGTTCGCGGGTTGCTGTCTGGAGTTGGTCGTGGTTTTCTACCAGGTGTCGTGGCTCCCGCCGCACGTTCCGTTCACGATCGTGGTTGTGCACGACCCGGAGGTCATACAGTTTTTCGTCTTCTTCGCGTTCAACTACGGGTAGATGACCGCCGTGTGCGCGTTTGACCGCCGTTCTTGGACATTGGATGCAGTTTTGCCGTGCATACGTGAACTACGTGGACAATTCCCCATCGCCATGGCGGACTTGGTCGCGGAATGGCACGACCGCGGCGGCCAACGCGGCACCATGCTCCGTGATGGCAGGTGAAGGAGCCAGGCAGCCTCGCCCCGTCCGCTAGGTCCGAGGCGCTCGGCATCGACGTGGATTTCTGGGGCGCAGCTCGCGCGGGAAGATCACCGTGGCCAACCGTGAAGGCGGAGCCGGCTTCGCCAGCAGAGGCCCAGCGTCGTCGTGGCCGTACGTATTTTCAACAGGCGCGAAGTTTTCGCGCCTTGGGCCCTGCGGGACCTTGTGAGTGGCAACGGTGGGCCGCGTAAGTCGTCCGAGGCTCGGCGAGCTCCCGTGGGCCAACAATGCAGCCTGGCCAGTCTTCATGTTCGCGGACAGCGCAGTCGAGAACACCGTCGTTGTCGGGGACGTAGCTTTCGACCCCGGGAACGGCACTTTGAAGTTTTTCGGAGGCCGCGGGAGGACGCGGTGCAATCGTGGGGGCGAAGAGCCAGTCACGATCTGGCGATTGGCTAGGCGGAGCTCGCGCGGGTGTTTTTGGCCGGGTTTGAATGGCTCGCGGGTCTGTCGGACCCGGGCGACGCGATTGGTCGGTTGGACTCGCGGCTGTAATAAGCCAACCGCGGGGTGGTTCGAGCTGGTTTGTGGGCTGGCTTGGCCCTCGCGGTTTTCGTCTACCAGCGCACAACCAGCAGTTCCCCGGGTCTGCGAAGGTCCGCGCGTCTATTGCATTGACACACGCTCGCGCGGCAGCATCGCACGACAGCGCTCTGCCCGCGAACAGCTAGGCACAAAGCGACGAAGCGAAGGCGCGCGCGCGCCGCCCGTCCCCATTTGCCAACAGCATATTTTTCCC